GGTTACTGTTTCAGCAGAAGCCAGAAAAATAACTTTGTAGTAGTCAAAATGTTATCCTACTGTATATTGTTTACTTTATTGTAAATAATGGTGAGCAGTGGTCAATAAATAGTTTTATATTCCTTTTTGTGGTGAGACTTTTTAATCTGATTTCCTTTATAATGGAAGTGGAAACACCTACACACCATTACTGAATTAATCTTCATGTTTGTAAAGTGAATACCACCAAGGGAGTAGAGTGCACATCCTATATTCCTAGTACAGGTATTTCTGCAAATCATTGTATGTATTATTTCTCAGGTGTTGTATTTGTGCTATAACAAGTTAATACCCATCTGATGACAGTGCAAATTTATTGTGGAGACCAAAGTGCAAAATCAAGTCTCACTGGGTTAAAGTCAAGGTAGCAGCAGCACAGTAGTTCCTTCAGGAGGCCCCTGAGGTAGTCTTTCCCTGGCTGTTCATTTCTGCAGGTGATATCTGCATTCTTAGCTCCTGGTTCCTTCCATCTTCGAGACCAACAGTAATAGCACAGTGATGGTGAGCCTTTTAGAGCTTTCAATGATACAGCCGCTGCAGCACATGTGCCATAGGATTGTAGGGTCTTTTGTTGTCTTCATCACTTCCTCTTTCCATGTCCTGTTTATTGCAGCTGTTTTGTGGAAAGATTGAACCAAAGTATTCCAAGTTTTTTAATTTCCAGAACCAGGTTTTTAGCTGGGGGGGGGGGTCTCTTTTCCATTTTACCCTAATATGTAAGAAATATACCACGTAACAAGTAAAATGGTACAGTAATAAAGCTTCCTCACTGATTCATTTCCCCAGTGCTACGTAGTTCAGTTGAATGTTTCACTCTGTACTACTTTGATACTTCAATGTTCAAATACTGATTTTAACAAATAGAATTCAGTGTTTCAGAATTTATTTTTCAGCAAATTTAGACACTCTTACCCAGTAAATACATTAAAAGTCTACCCTGTTCTATTATAGCTAAGAAGTATTCCAGCCAAACTGCTTAGATTGGAATCGGCCATTTATTCTTTGGTCTTTAACAAACTTATCTTACCTCCCTGCCTCAGTTTTCTCATCTATAAAACATTCTTCTTGGGCTGATGTGAGGATGAGTGTGGGACATTTAGAGCAGTGCTTTGTTTTTGACAATTGAGATGTTTCATGTATTATTTTAATGGAGCAGAAACAGCTGTTGGAGGGCCGGGGCTTTAGCTCGGTTTCGCCGCCTGCTGCGCAAGTGCAAGGACCGGAGTTTGATCCCTGGTACCCCCCCCCAAAAAAAAAACAGCTGTTGGAGATTCCCCAGCTTAATTGCAAAGTGTGAACAACCTAATTATTCAGATTATTTGTAGTTTTTCACTGTTAGATGAAGTGTTCTTATGTACATGGATCACAGAAGTCGTTAATGAACTCAAACTTGCACTGATTTACATCACCCTATGTCCTCACTAGTACTACAAATGAACAATGTTGATCTCTAATTTTTAGCCAGTCTGATAGCATGTTTTCATTTAATGTCTCATATTTTTGTTGAATGTACTTTCCATGCTTAAAACTTTGCATTTACTCATCTGTAGATTAGTTGTCAATTTTACTAATTTTTAATTGGTAAGAGTTTTGTATTCAAGATTATTAATAGAGTTTTCTAGGTTGTGGATATTTTCTCTTACATATTCAACTCTGTTAGTCTCTGTCTTCTGGGTTTCTTGTTTCAGAATACCTCTGCCATCCTGAACTTGAAATTATACAGGTATTTTAAATTTTCTTCTGTTTTCATTGACTTGCTTTTTTAGGTAAGTCTAAACCATCTGAGATTTCATTGGATACCATGATGAAAAGATTCTTGATTGTTTCCCAAGATAAGCAACACTACCTGTGTTGAAGAAATCTGATGTATAGAAGTTTCCCAAATCCTGTAGATCAAAGAAGATCAATACACCACTCCAAAAAATTTTGGGTCAACAGATACAACCAAAGCTTTTTCATAAAGGGCCTGGAATCTGTTTAAATACTTGGACATGTATTGGTAGGTTTAGTGAAATCTGTGAACTTATAACAAAAGGGAACACTGATGAAATTCATTACTAGTAAACTTTTTTAGAACCACTGAAGTGTTCGTACAATCTTTCATTACTTTTTTTTCACCTTTTTGTAACTGAAAAAACAACAGATGTCCTTTATATAAGTAAGAGTCAAGGTTCTTGGCAATTCTGATTGGGCATTCTGACAGCCTAGATTTGCAAGTTTTTTTTCTTTTTTAATTGGCAGATACTGCTCAGGGTACTTGTGTAGTGATACCAGGGACAGTGGTGGAAAGCTATGAAAATTAGGTAGGTCTTCAAGGAACTATGAAGACTTAGGGGTGGAGATGTAGCTCAGTGGTGGAGCACTTGTCTAGCGTGCAAGGCCTTGGTTTAGATCTCCAAGCACCACAATTTAAAAAACAATTTCATTTTCCTTTCAGGGCCTGAGCCTTATCTAAGTAATGCAGAAATATGTTGAAAAGAAAGATGTGAGAAAATCATGGATTTGAACTTGGTCATTATTAGGTCTTTTTTTGTTAAAACTTAAGTCCAGGGAGGTTTGTTTTACTTAACAGACAAGATAACCCCCAGCCCCCTTTAGTTAAAGTGAGGCTTTCTACTCCATATTTAACAGCAATTTGAACAACAGTTTCAGTAGTTGGTGTAATTAAGGAAGTTGGTGCCAATCTGTCTTCTTAATATCCCTCCTCTGTAGTATCTCTGAATGGTGCTGCATTTTCAGATACCTGACAATCTAACACATCTGCTAAAGAGAGTTAACTACCAAGGGGATATTGTAGGTTGGTCATTGGATTTTGTGAGGTGGTATGTTTATATGTGTATTCTAAGAATTTAGTTATAGTGAAAGCTTTTTTTTCTTTTGAGACAGTCTCACTATAGCCCAGGCAGGCCTTGAACTCATGGCAGTCCTGCCTCAGCCTCCCGAGTGCTGGGATTACAGTCATCCACCACCATGCCCAGCTTGAAAGCAGATTTCTGCAGACATATTGGTCACAGAAATATAAAATATGAAATACTAGGGTCTATTTTCCTATTACAGCTTAGTTTTTGCCATAAAAGCAAGGAATAAAAATCCCCAAGGGCACATGAAAATTTAGTTCCTAGGAAAAATACCTGACATCATTGTACACTATCTGGCAGATGTCGTTTTCTATCATTTCATTTAATCTTCAGAATAATTCCCTGGGTAGGTATGATTGACCCCATTTTGGGGGTGAGGAAGCTAACAAAAGCATTAAAAGGTTCAAGATCAAGAATGTGTATGAAAGGGTATTTGCTGTGGGAATGAAGATAAATGACTGGTTTGAAGATAAGGTTTTTCCCAGTATGTGTAGAATAGTTTGGAATATAAAATGAAATGATGTGAGGCAAGGAAGAAACAGGAATCCAGAATGTCTACAAGATTTAATTTTGTCTTGGATGGATGAGAATGTTATTTAGTGAGAGAACCTGGGAAACAGGTTTGTGGTGGAAGATTAAAGTGGTTTTGGAGCCAGGTGCAGTGGCATGTGCTTATACATACTTTTGAGGACAGCCTGGGCAGCATAGCAAGATCCTCTCAAAAAATGAAAATACACTTGCTTTGGACATAGATTGAAGGATCTCTTTCATTTTATTAGTATAGTAATATATCTTCACTACATAACTTGGCTGAAAATAGCAGATAGCAACCTCAAACTTGCTTAGATAGGGAAATTACTGCCATACAGACAATAACAAGCTGATTCAGAGGACTGGCTCTAAGTTTGACCTGCTGGAATCAAATCCTCAACTCTATTGTTTGAATTTTAGCAAGTTTCTTAACTTCCCATGCCTCAATATTCTCATCTGTAAAACAGGGAAAATAATAGTGATGGTTCTTACTCATGAGATTTCAGTATTAAAAGAATCATTGACTGATACATAGTATGTACCAATAAATGTAACTACCAGTGTCTGCTGTGAACCTCAGTACCAGACTCAACTGTAAGCCTTTAATGACTGGAACCCTGGATTGGCACAACACAAACACTTGCCATCTCTGGTGTCTGCTCCTATCTTTATGTCAGCTTTCTTTGGGACTTATTTCCATAAATCAAAAACTTAGCTGCTGTCAACTCCAAGACTTAAACACTAAGTTTTACCCTCCAATGTGTAGTTTAAAAATCCTGTACAAGATCTCTGATTTTCCTGGCCTGTGTTAAGAGGTCCTTCCAAGAATTATCTGTTGTAACCACATCTGGAGCACCACGATTGGATCAATCACAAAAATCCATCCAGAAAAAGGTGGATGTTTGTCTTCTATAAACAGAATACTATATATAACAACAGAAGTTCAGCCAGTTTGAAAATGTCTTAATATCTTTTGTCCTTGCTCTTTAGAAGACGTATGTACTTTCAGTGTCTGGGAACATCCTAGAACTTCCTATCAACATTTATTTTTCAAATGAAAGTTGGAATCTGATCTTTTCCTTAAGTATTAACCCTGAGCTGGCAGGACAGGACAAAAACGTTGATATTTGACAGCCATTCTTGTAGCTCATGAATGTATAGAAAATTTTTACTTTTTAGAAATAAGACCATAAAATAATTTAAAAATAAAAATAAGCTCAACATTTTAACCTCATTCAAAAGTTTTACATCTTAGCTTTTTAAAGAAAGAATATGACACTTAATATTGAGTGATTTTTCATAGCAACTTTTATATAATATTTCAATTACTGCTGTAAAGATCAGGTTCAAAGGTATACACCAACTCTTACTATTCCCCTGGTGCGTTTATTGGCTAGTGATAACACCCTAATTTAATACCCTAAGTTGGTCCTTCTTGAATATTAAACCAGTATTTTTAGAGCTCTAAAAACACTTTTGAGGTCTTAATAGTCTTACTCATATTGATGAGGAACAGGAGAGAATCAAGAGGAAAGAGAACGAAGGGACAGATATCCAGGGGAAAAGGTCAGGTGAGAATGGGTACTGAGAAATTCAAGAATAAAATTAGTAAATAAAGGAAGTATGACAGTCAGGATCCATTCCACCAACCTAACAAGGTCCTTTTGGCATTTTAGTAACTGAAAGCCTTTGGCTAGAT